CGCTGTGCCCGGCGGCCGACAGCAGGACTTACTACTCCCTGGACAGCCACAGCACGCGGGCCAGCAGCAGACACAGCCGCGCGCCGCCCGCGCGGGCCCCGCAGGACTCGGCGCCGCTCTAGGGCCCGCCGCCCGCTGTCTCCGGGAGGGCGGAGACCCCGCCCGCGGGAAGGAGGGAAGCGAGAAATAAAAATATTTTTATTTTCTATAAAAGGAAAAAAGTATAACAAAATGTTTTATTTTCATTTTAGCAGAAATTGTCTTATAATACTAGCTAACGGCAAAGACGTTTTTATAGGGAAACTATTTATATGTAACATCCTGATTTACAGCTTCGGAAAAAAAAAAAGAAACAACAAAAAAAAAAGAGAGATGGGCCAATTTTTTGACTCTTTAATAGAAACCTATTTTGTGGTGCCTTTTGCTGTACGCTAATCTGGGGCTCCTGGAGCGAAGACTGGGTTGCACGTGGGGCCGGGGGTGCTGTCGGGTCGCGAGCTGGGTGGGCAGGGGGCGAGAGAAAGCGGGCCAGGAAGAGGCTGCCTGCAGGGTTCGGGCAGGGGCCAGTGACGGGTTGGCCCTGAGGAAGAAAACGGGGACAGAAGTGGCTTTGCCCCCAGGCAAGATCTGGAGTCCCGGCCCGGGGAGGAGGGGTGTCCTGAGTTTGGAGCTTGAGCTGGGGTAACTTCCAGGGCGAGATGAAGGCCCAGCACAGCTACCAGGATGGGGAGGGGGCCTCCCCGCTACTCACAGCTGTGAAGGGGGGGGAATGGAGAAAGGTCTCCCCAGCGGCCTGGGCCCCAGGAGGGGCAGCTCTGCCAGGGGCCCAGTGTTCGCAGCTCCTCCTCCCCCGTGGCCTCCAGGACGCCCCTCCGTCCTCTGCAGCGCCTTCGTTTACAGGTCGTTTTTTCTATTTTACGCCTGCATGTCCTTTGCATTTCAGATTCTTTAGATTGGATGCATGGTCACGCTGGGACCGAGAAGAGCCACTGGACAGTGTATTCGAGTCCCCTTTTAGCAATAAAGTTACACCATTTCCTTCTCACTGGCCTCCTCCCAGCCGCTAGCCCACCTATGACTTCCACTCCCTCTCCAGCCCTGCCCTCCCCACCCCTCAAAACTGGGTCCACTGCTAATTTGTCAAAAAGGTAATTGTTAAAAAAAAAAAACCAAACCCAGCAGAAACAAATGGGAACCCTGCCCTGAAATGTCCAAACACCTGACTGTTGACACTTGAACATTTTTATATTATAAATAAAATCAGAAAGAACTCCTGTTTGACTGTGTCTGCCTAGCCCCCAACCGAGGAGGGAAGTCTGAGCATGAGGACAAGATGGAGGTGGATGGATGTTGGCCTGGAGGTTGGAGGGGTCAGGGCAGGCCCTGGGAGGAAGTAGCCCTCTCTGCAGTCTCCTGGGCCCCAGCCCGCCTCCTGAGAACATTTGCAAGGTGTCCCCCCTGGCAACAGGGGAACCTGGCCAAGGGACTGACGCAAATTGTTCTGCCTCAGAAAACTCAGCCTCGGCACCCTGGCCCAGTTCCTGCCCTGGATTTCCAGGGCTGGACTGAGGCAACAGGCCTAGGTGGGTGAGGAGGGCAGGGTTGTGGGGTTGGCACTGGGGCAGCTGAGGCAGGATGACCCTTGGGGCCTGAGGCACGTCACAGGCAAAGTCTGGACATGCAAGCTGGTATAAAGGGTACCCTCGGCTGCCAGGAGGGCCACAGCTGCCACAGCTCATAAAGCCCATGGGGAAAGCCACTCTTTCCCCAACTTTCCCCGGGCCCCTCGGAACCAGGGCCTGTCTAAATCCGTAGCCCCTGATGAAGAGTACATGATTTCAGGGACGGAGAAAGCGGACGGAGGCCCAGGATTGAGATGACTTTCCCCTCATCAACTGACTGACTAAACTAGTGCCCAGCACCAGGAACCATTCGGTTCCAGCGGGACACAAGGGTATCTTCCATCCAAAGAGCTGAGGAGGTTGACGCTCGTGCACATGTTGGTACATTTGTGAGGGGAGGGCGTGTGGATGCCCCCAGGACGTGTGTAGTCAGAGACCTACAGATGGGAGGGACAGAGCCACTTCAGGTTGAAAGGGCTTAGGCATCAACAGGGCCTGAACTAAAGTTCCTGCTCTGCCCCCCACGAACTGTGGTCTCCAGACCAGTTTCCTGTTGGGAAATGGTGATACAAATACCTCAAAGGGTTACTCTGGAAAGTGTACATAGAAAAGTGCCCAGTGCTGCTGCTGGCACAAGATAGATACCTAGACATGACCAATTTGATGGTGGCAATGACAGTATCTTGTGTCTTGCCTCTTAAAACACACCGCCAGAAGGTGGGAGAGGGAGGTGATGGAAAAAAGTAAAGAAATGACTAAAATTAGTGCACTCGTTGTGGGGGAGCTGGAAAAAAGTACCTGTTACAAAGAAATGAAAGAAAAGAAAGTCGATGCTGCATCAACCTGCAGACCTCGACCCTGCCCAGCCCCATCTGATCTCTCAGGCTGTCTCTGATAGTGGTTGGCTCTAAAATCCTCTCTGCCAGTTAGTCCTCTCTGTGACCTCTGACCTTTAGGAGATCCCAAATCACATCCACATGACCTCTTGGTGAACCCATTGACCCTTTGCATGACACAGCTTAGTGTCCTCATCTGACCCTTCTGAGGGCTCTGAGTTGCTGTTGTCATCTAAATTTTAGAGTCAGAAATCACTCCCGTGAGTCAAGTGAACCCACGGATCTCTGTATGACCCCAGAATAATCCTGAATGACCTCTTGGTGAACTCATTGATCTTCACATGACCCAGCTGGTACCTTCATGATCTGCTCTAATTCTAAGACACTTGCCATCCCTGCCCAGAGTCTGAAGAGCTCAAGGCTCTTTCCTCATCTGGCATCCACCCACTCGTCACATAGGTGTAGTTGAGACAGGGACCCCCCTTCTCCGCTCTGCCTCTCATGTTTCTGCCTCAGGGAACCTTTCCAATGGCCTTTCGGGAAGAGTTACAGTCCTGTTAACAATTTCCCTACTCCCAACCTGTCCCTGGAGCACAGAGGACATTCCAGCACCTTCCCAGGTCAGCCTTCTTCTCCACTCCCCCGATTCTTTCTTTTCTCTACCAGGCGGTTTCTGACTTCTCTCCCCTTCCCTTCCTGGAGTCCCAAATTGTCATGGTATCTGCCTGTCCTTCTCCCCAGTATTCTGTGAGTCCCATGGGGACAGGGAGCTGGCCCAGCTTTTCCTCACCAGAGTTTCCCCAGCACCCAGCGCGGCGCAGGGCGCAGGCTTGGCCCTCCGTGAGTGAAAGGATGAAGGTGCTGGAGACACTGTCCTCGAGGGGTGGCCCCAGGAGTCCCTGAGCCCACAACTACTCCCTAGGACCACCAGGTGGCGCAAGCCACTTAGTGCATCTCACCAGCCCCTGGTGTGGGACAGGCCTAGAAAATGGGCGCTTTAGTGGGCAGAGGTTGCAGGGGGAACACCAGGATCCATCTGACTACAGGGAGAAATATTAGGACTTTGATTTAGATTTATTTTCATCTCATCTTTTAAAATGTCTATTACTATGTATGTTTTATAATGTACATAATATTTTAGTACAGTAGTACATGTATATAATTTACAAATAAATAATTGTACATTTAAGGAAGTGAACTTAAGATTGTTTTACTGATGGGAGGCACAACTTGTGCTCGGCCAGCACATCTGTCTACAGCTGCCAGAGTCCCGTCTCTGCTCCACACTCACCCACCCTCATGGAGTGAAGGGTGGGACCCCGACTCCAGAAATCAGCAGAACTTGGAGGCAGCATGGAGAAAGTACAGAGCTCTTTTTTGAGGGGGAACCCACAAAAATGGAATTTGCTTATAAAAAATTGTGTATTTATTCTTACATGTTTAAACTTCAAAGTACTCCCCGTTTGAAGCAATATACCTGTCAAGACACTTTTTCTGCTGCTCAAAACAGTTTCTGAACTCATCAATTCTGATGTCTTTTAGTGCTTCTACTGTTTTTTGTTTCACCTCTCTCACATCGGCAAAACGTTTCTCTTTGAGGACTTTTGTCATCTAGGGAAACAAAAATAGTCCCTCAGGGTGAGATAGTGTGAATAGGGAAGGTGGGGCCCAGGGCTCATGCCATGTTTGGTCAAAAACTGCAGAACACTCAGCAAGTTGTGGGCAGGTGCACTCGTAAATCACCCATCATGAAATGGGAAAACATGTTGAAAGAATCTCCAAAAAAATTCACTGAAGCTGAACACAGCCTCTCACAACAGCACTAGCTAGTACACTGATGCCGATGGATTTCTAGAACACTTACCTAGCAGGGGAAGTCTGTACTACAAGGGACCCACCCTCTAAAAAAAATTCCGTGTTTTTTGGGTCCCCCCTTGTATGATGCCACATTACATTTTCAATTTCATTTAAATGAACATTTACTTCCTCTGAGCAAAACGGAGGGGCCAGATGGTTTGCTTATAAAACACACTTCAACTCATCCAACTTAAATAATTTGGATTTAAATCACTACATCTCCCCAAGTACTCCAACGCCCCTTGCATCAAACGTGAGTGGGCTTGTAGATGTTAGAAACTTAGGTGCAAGGCTGGCTTATTTCATTAAGGAAGCATGTTACTACTGACGTCAGGCCCTGGCCCGACGGCATCTACTTAAACAATAGAGAGGAGGTGCTCATCCTAGCGCCGCGGGGCGCCATCACTCCGCCCACTATCAGTCTGAGGAAGGCAGGGCTTCAAAGATGCTCATCTGTGATCGGCATGTGGCAAATGTCTCTATTCTTCCCAGACAGGTCCTTAGCTAAGCCTTTCTGATTCACTGGAAAAATGAAAGAAATAGCAATCTAAAAACAATCAGTAACTTGTCATTCCCCCTTTTCCCAAGACCAGGAATTAATGGGTTTCCATAACCTTCTCTACCATGCACCTTTGGGCTTGTTGACAAGTGGCCATCTGCAAGGCAATGTCTCTTCTGCCTGTAGCAGATCTGTCCAAGACACCACCCCTGGAGCTCAGAGACCTGGTGGCACCAGCATAGATTCAAATAAAAAACTGGGCCATGACCTCATCCCACTTACATCCCAGGATGTCCATGGGACAGATGGGGCAGTGTGCACACGCTCTATGTTTTCCAGACCCATCAGTTGTAAGAGCAGTGAAAGTCACTGGTTAGCCAGAAGAGGGAAAAAAACAGTGAGGGAAGGTGAGCACCGTCTCCATCTTCTCTCCCAGGTGTCAGGAACGCTGGGACCAGGTGAAGCCCTTCTGGCTGATGGGCGAGGCTCCGAAACAGGCTTTTCCTTCATCTGACTGCCTCCTCTAACTGATGTCAGTTCCAAAACAGCTTTAAGGGGGCTCCTTATATATATATATATTATTCTTATGTATGTACATTTACGTCTGTATAAAAAAGGAGGCAGTAGCGACCTCAATGGATGGAAGGAGGGGTTAGGAGAGTGAAGTCTGCTTGGCATCCAGAGGGAGCAGGCCTGGGCCGGATTATTGCGATGTGAGGCAGGAGACCCGACTCAGTTCCAGAGGCTGCTGGGAGGCAAAGGAGGAGGACGGTGCTGGTGGTCTGCAGACCTGCTGCTGGTCAACTCTGAGGAAGGAGGAGAAGGGTGGGGTCCATGCTGAGACCTGGACCAAGACCTGCCCTCACAGACAGGAGAGATGAAGGCAGGAGATTGATGAGGAGAGGGAGACCTGGGAAGCAAAGGCCCTTCCAGCTCCTCCAGCGAGATGGTGTCTTGAGCATGCACACAACCGGCCCCCACAGCAAGGCTCCATAGTGGAGGGAAACCAAGACTGGGAGAGGATCCGAGGCCCAGAGATGCCCAGATGCAAGAAGAGCAGCGCCATGATGAAATCTCCATCTCCTTGGTTCCTTGGCTCACAAGCTCTCTGCACCCCTCTGGCTGCCTGTCAACTGCCTGGACCTTGGTCTGAGGGGCCCCTGGTTGGAGTTGTGCTCACTGACCTGTCTGGGAACATTTGCCCGCCTCTGGGGCCTGCAAATCTATGCAAGCTAAGTATCAGGTCCAGTGGCCTCCTTTGTGGTTTTGCTGCCAGTCATAGGCCCATGGCCCTGACTAAGGGCAGGGCTCGAGTGTGTCTTCCGGAGAGAAGGGTCGTCCCCTTCCAGCGTGGCCAGCCGGGCCTCAATCCGCTCCAGGTCATCTGAGCCCGCTTTGATTTTCACAGCCAGGAGGTGGATATAGGTCTCATAACGCGTTTTCTGGGAAAAGGGCAGAGAAATGTCAAAAACAAGGTCAAAATACAAACAACAAAATAGGAAAAAATATTTGAGTCTTTTATGACAAAAGACTAATTTCCTTAAAATGCAGAGAGCTCTCACAAATCAAGAAAAAGGAGAAGCCGGGCTCAGTGGCTCAGCCTGTAATCCCAGCACTTTGGGAGGCTGAGGTGAGTGGATTGCCTGAGCCCGCGGATTC